TTTTGGGGTGGAGGGGTCCTGCAGGGACACTTGAATCACTACCGAGACTCTTCTGATATGAGCTAGCTAAGTGGATCTATTTTTACGGAACACATGTTCTGTTTATTTATAGTCATAGAATAAGCGTGTACTTGTGTATGTACTGCATTTTAACACAGTTTTTTGTGTATGTTTATCAACATGCTTCCTTATAAACATATTTTCTTAGTGTATAGTCCTGGTTAGTAAAGTGCAGTGTTTGAGAGTTGTCTTCCATCTTTCCTTCTATCTTTAGGATAGGGCTAACTATCCTAATCCTTTGGAATGAGGAGGATGACAGAAGCACATGACACCCCTTTTAAAAAATGATCGACCCATATAGAGCTATGATATCTACAAAAGAAAGGGGTAGATGATGGGAGGGAAAGGGTTGTGTTTGGAAAGGAGCCCCATGGTGGAGAAATCACTGGGAAGAAGTAGGAAAGGCATGGAGCTGTAGCATAATCTTGAGAGGTAGACTTTCATTTAAATGATGTGCTCACAGTTGGCCTGTTGAAGCCTGTGGAAGGAATTGAGTCATGTCTCATGAGTGTGGGTTCTGGACAAAATGGGAGGCCTTATTTATGTATTAGTAGGTCTCTGAAGAGATGTCATATGCATTTTCTAAATAAATAAATATATTAGCTTGCCTGTGAAGGAGCTCAAGAAAGCATACATGGTTCTTTCTCTGTTATATTCTCACAATGGTCCTGTGAGGTGGGTTAGACTAAGAGAATGATTGGCCCAAGATCAGGGATTTGAACTTGGGTCTCCATAATTTAGTGTGTTCACCACTACCATACTGACCCTTGTTATACAACTGTTGTGGAAGCAGGAAATGAATGATAGGCTGCTCTCCTGTATTGCCTTTCTCTTGCCCTTTATTTTTTCTTTTAAGGGCAGTTCATGCTGGGAACTTTTGAATAAAATGTTTATTGAACATATTGTAGTTCTATGAAGTTACATTATCCTTGGAGGAACTATTATGCTGTGCAGTTCTGCAGCTCTCCTTATGGTGTAAACACACCAGCAGTGTAAGGGAATATGGCAACACATTTGGAGAAATGTAACAGGCAGCCATGTTTAGAAAATGGTCATCAAATAGGGCTTGCTGCCACCTACAGACATAGTAGTGGAAGTGAATTTGGAGGGAGTCATTGATCTGGAGTTGAATACAGTAATGATTGCTTTGAATTTGCACTTTGGCGTAATGTACCTTTGGGAAAGGGGTTCTCTGTTGCTTTCTTGTTGATAAATTGCTGTCTTATCCAGTATGTTATATTAGAGCAATATGTTGATGTGTATTCATTACGTTGTGAAGACTAGCTACTAAGTCTGTCTTGTAACATGCTGCTTGTTTGCTTTGTAATTCCAAAGTTAACCTGAGCCTTGTGTTGTAGGGACAAACTGAGTCTTTGCATGAGAATTTTTTTCATGGTTAATTGTGAAACAAGTAGTAGTTTAGGAAATGCATGTAATCTTAGTTGTCTCCATGGTGCCTTTCACTGTGTACATCTTGAAAACAACAGATGGTATGCAGGCATAAAGAGAAGAAATGGTTTGCCTTTAGGTCATACTGTGAGATGAGGGTAAAATCCTAAGGAGCTACAAATCTGGTCCGCTCGCTGGGAGAAGCACAACTGTGTGTGTGCTGTGGTAAAGCTTAACTTTGAAAAGAACTGGGATTGGTTTGTGGATGTAAGAGTGATTGGTCCTTTGGCTGTACTGATTGTGTCATGGAAGCATACTAGCAGGCATTGTCGTGCATTAGCTGTGAAGAAATGTTTCTGTTTGTAGATTTTCCTAATAAGAAGAGGAAGAGGAGCAGATGGAACCAAGACGCCATGGACCAGAAGACTGTTATCCCTGGAATGCCCACAGTTATCCCCCCTGGGCTTACTCGTGAACAAGAGAGAGCTTATATAGGTAAACTCTTGTTCTTTTCCTCTTCCATTTGTTCATGTCAGGTGCCTGATCCAGAGACTATTTTTGGCTTCTGTATGTCTGAGGCATTTACAATGTGTGCTTTCAAGGGCTTGGGATATTGTGACCTTGTTTTTGTTACTTAAGATAGATAATATTCATGTCTCTGCTCAGACTGGATTGTGCTCCATCCCAGCTCCCTGTCCTGTTTGACTGAAACAGTGTCCTCCACAGGCACAGTGGAAGTGGTAATGTCCTTTGAGGTGTTGGGGAATGGAAACTTGCTGACATTCACTTAATTGGCCAGTAACTCAGTAATCAGTGGGGTCTCTTGTTAGCTTCACAGACTCTTTGCTAGCGGAGAACACTGTAAGAGTTCCTTTTCAAGCTGCATTGTTTGGAAGCAAGTACCTCTTTCACAGCGGAATATTATAAAGTGACCTAACCATGGTTTCCCTCTGACTTTTTCTTACATTGTTACACTAATTCTTTGAAACCTAAATTGACTGCAAGGTGGTAAAGTTTGTTGATGCCACCCAAAGCAAGGGTAGATTCTCTATTTCCTGGTTTATTTTATTTTTTTTTAATCCTCAGGTATTTGAGGGTGGGCTCTGTTATTTTGGGTCATTGTACACCATTGCTGGGAAAGGGATACTGCTTAGTTCTGTGGGAATTAATGGTGTTGAAACTGTAAAAGCTGGGGAGTGACAAATGTTACTGTATTGTGTATGGAAATGAAAATCTTGTTTAATTTGTGTAAGAAATGTGATGTGAATGTTAAATTGATTTGTGAATATTGATCAGTACCTGGACAGAAATAACCTAGTGTATTCTAATGTGTTATCAGATACAGTTCTTGCCTTTTAGCTTAAAACTAGTATTTTCTTGAATACACGACCATTTAATACCTGTTTATCTTATTAGGGTGGCAATTTTGGGGGGGTGAGTGTGTGTGTGTATGTCTGAAAGTCATGGTTGACTTCTGGTGACCCCTAGTGGGGCTTGGACATTTCAGAGAGGTGGCTTACTATTGCCTGCCTCTGCGTCCCAGCCTTGATATTCCTTGGAGGTCTCCCTTCCAAGTACTTAGGGGGGTGGAAATTTTTTAACTCTTTGCTTGTGCATAAACCACTGAGATTTTTTATTTAACACTGTTATCCATAGCACTACTGAAAACTGTTTGGCTTCTTAAAAGCCTGCTATAGGATTACTTTTAAGATTCCAAAGTCAGTTTACATGTAGTGTAGAACAATTTTTATCTCAGTCAAGCAAAATTTCTGCATTGCAGAGGTGTGCTATTTAATGCAGGTTGGTGAAGCTGATCACAATCTTGCATCAAAGAAGGCTCCGTTTTCTTTGGATTTTGGAACTTATTTCTTAACTTCTTGTAGAAGTAGCAGTATTTCCTGCAGATGTAGCAGTATTTCATGTTAATCAAGATATACCATCTGACCTTGAGCTTATATACTTGTAAAGAAAATACCATGGCTCTAGTTAGAGCATTAGTTTGTATTGAATGGGTAGCAGAACTGATGGTGGGGGAATGATTAATTAGAAAAACTCTTTAAGAAGGCAGTTTCCAATGCTGAGCTGTTGGTTTTAAAATGCGCGCGGGGGGTGTTTTTTAAAGCAGACATGCAATCAGTTGAGCCCTGTATCAGACTCTTAACTGAAACAGCTCCCTCTATGGATGGATAGAATCAGATCAGAATTCTCAGTCTGTGCAAAGATGTAAGTACTCCACTTGCTCAGTTAACTGTAGTGCTGAAGATGGAGTTTGCAGTCCTCAGCTGAACTGAGTAAATGTAGGTGAAGTGATCCACACTGAGCTGGACCACTAATAGGCAAAGTTATAACTGCAGTAATGAGAGAGAATTCCTCAGTATGTCATAGAATCTATTATATAATCAGACACGTAACATTTGGTAGCATTAACTTGAGATGAAGTCGGCATTGAATTTAAAAATCACAATGTTGTAGAAAGAGAACATTAAAACTGAACTCCCAAAATGCCAGGCAATAATGTAAATAATTATAGACCTAAGTATGTCACAGTTTCATGCTTACATCCCACCCATTTAGGCCGTGATTTACTGTGTCTGGGATGGAGGGCCGAGGGGGCTGCTCCTAGCTGTCTGGATGGTATTCAGAATACTTATAAGAAGGGGCCTTCTCCATTATTAATGGCAGTGGTGGCACAAAGAACGACCCCTCCCCAGAAAAACCCTGCCCCAGGTGGGGAGCAGAGCAGATAACACTAACATGTGCCAGAAAACTTGTGCCAGCGGCTGGAGTAGGCAGAAGCAGCCCATCTCTCATACAGTTTCTCCTTGTTCAAAGTGAGCCAGAACTGTCCCACCTCGTTCCATTCCTCCATGCAAGAGAGGGTAGTTCTCTGAATTGCTGAGCTCAGGAGCCAGTTACTATGGTGTTTCAAAAGCTTGGCATAAAATAAGATACCTCCCCAATTTCTCTGCAGTTTGTGGAGAATATAGGGTGGGATCTGGATGCTGCTGGTTATCCTCCCTTAAAGGAGGTCTAGGGCACTCTTGCTTATGAGCAGAATTGTGAAGGACTGTGTAGCTTGTGTGGTGTTGTCTTAATGGTACCAAATGGTTAAATATTTGTATGAACTATTATGTTGCAGTTCCCCCCCCCCCCCCATTAGCATGGATGTAACTTTGCTTAGTGGTAGTTTGGCCTTGTAGTCCACAAACCGCACAGTTCAGAGTAGACTAACAGATGATAGGGCTTGTACAGTGCTACTTCAAAACACAGTGCTTGGAGGTTGTGCCCCAAATCATGTGCTTTGCCTTGCTGCTGTTTACAAGCTGGGCAACTAATTATTTAACTTGTGCTCTTTAGGATGAGCCAGAGTCAAAGCCCTTTATTCTGAATAGAAGAATCAGTTGCTGAACGTTTGCCGTAGATATTTGGTTGTCTGTGCGTGCTGTGAGATAATGAGCAAGTTAAAGGATGCTAAGGTTTCATTTAATGATGCATATCAAGGTTCAGCATTTACTAGTTAACTGTGAGTAACAAATAAATACAGAAGTGTGGTTTATAATCCACAGTCTCCAGAATGAGAGGACTATTGCTAAACTGGTTATGAATTGTGCAGTTCTGAAGTCTTCTCTCACTTGGCCCCCTACTGTTGTAACCAAACAGGATTGTTCTGATGTGTTAAAAAGTAAGCATTTGAATGTCAATATTCCTGCTGGGAGTCTGTCCACTACCAGTTACAGCATGTCAAAGGTGGCTTTCTTCAGCAGCCTGGAGATCAGCCTTAAAAAGATTAGACAATTTTTGCTAACTTTTAAATGAATGCTTTGCTTCCTGATGAATAATTCTTTTTGAAGATCGATAGAAATAAGTAAGACCAAGAAGGGCCTTTGCTGGATTCCTGATGAACGTATTTGACTGGCTTAACATTGTGGGGTCTCCTGGTTTTTATGTTGACGTATCAGTCGTCCCTTGAAAATTCTCCAGTTCTTCATGCTTTGTTGATGAGTTTTGAGATGTTTTTTGGTAACATTGTCTTTTTTTCCATCCTTTTTTCTTTCCTAACCTGGTTTCTTCCAGTGCAACTGCAGATAGAAGACCTGACTCGTAAACTGCGCACAGGAGACCTGGGCATCCCCCCTAACCCTGAGGACAGGTTGGGAAACAGTTTTAACCAGCTGACAGTAACATTTTTTACCTTTTTCAATAAATTTTTGGTGGCATCGTAATATCAGTTCAATGAAATTTCTTCCTAATGAAATGTCTTCAGTGGTCTGATTTGACAGAGACAGTAGCTGAGATTCTTACTGTGAGGGAAAGTGAAACCAGAAAGGGCCTCAGGTTCCATTCTCGGTGTGGAATTTCTAAGCGAATAGCTTGTAATCATTAACCTGACTTTTAAGAAAAGGAATATGGTGGCCAACTAATTTAACCCATTCACTGCTGGTCTTGGGCAGGTGTTCAGAGGTCTTTCTCACAGGTTCACACTGAGGAATCCTCAGCACAGTCACTGAGTCTGAACAGCCTGGGAACTTTTTCTGACCGCTGATTTGCAGTGCTTTCCATTGGGTGGCTGAGCATGGTTTTTAAACCAGATGGGTACTAACCAGTTTCTTTGGTAGCAGCTACTACACAGTATTGGCCAATATCTGGGGAGCTGGGGCCCAGGCAGTACTGCACCTGCAGTGTGCGGAATTGGACGCCTGTGGTTTTGTTGGGCTTCAGTGTCATCCAACAAAATAACTTTTGTGTGTGGTTATTTTTTTTTTAATTGGCTTGTCAGCATTAATTTCTTAGAGGGTACAAATAAGGATGTGTTGTGTTATAGCATGTTGCACAACTTGTAAGCCAGTTCTTGCTCTCGAAAGTGGAATACCGTAAAATCCCTTTTTTCATTCAATTAAACCCATCTGAAATTACTTGGGTCAATAAATGTGGTGAGGCTGCCGATGGCTTCGGAAGCCTTGCCGCCGCCACCACCACCACCCTGGTCAAAAAAGCAAGTTCTCAACTCTAGTTCTTGAGGCACCATATTGTCTATTTTGAGCTTCAAAGAGCCTTTTGGCTCTCTTATGACCACGGTAATGGGGTTTAGGTTAATCTTTAGGTTAATCTTTAGGTAATTCTTGGTGGGAATAAAGTTATGTGTTTTGTTCTGTGCTGGATAAGAATGAATTGGGGGCTGTTGGTCTTAATTTTAACATGCCAATGAGGTTTCTCTCATGTGAAAATTAAATGCAGAACAGGGGAGGAGGGCTGCAATTTCTGGTGTATTACCTGTGTTTATAATAAGCATGTCTGATTGAGTACTCCTTTCTCATAATGAGACCAAACTGGTTAAAAGATCTGATACCTTTACCATTCAGTAAAAATGGATGTTCTCATTTATTTGCTAAAGGGCAGCTTTTACCACAGAAGGCATGATATGATTAGATATATTCAGCTTGAAACTTTTTCCTTACTGTTTTATCATACATATCTGTTTAAAAGAACCTCCTAGCTAGTGGATGGGTATTTTAAAATGTCTAGTCAACATAGACAGAAGGTGTGTGTGCGTGTGGGTGGATCACATTGCATTGGGACTGTTAAGCCTTCTTGGGTCCTAGAAATGGAGGTGTAATTTACATATTATTACTCCTGACCTTTTATTTCATATTCCTGTGTTGATTATTCACTTCAAGCTGAGAAGACATTGGGATCAACTGGCTCTAATCAATCCTTTAACCAGCTAGAAAGAAAAGCTTGTTTACCTAAAACCCAAGGTTTAGGTTTCTGATTACTTCAAGGATGTATTTTTTTATAACATGATCAATATCTCTTCCCTTCTTGCAGCTAACTTTAAATTTTTATTTCAATATGTTTGGAGAAGGTCCATAAAATATAAACAGAATTCTAGCAGTGTGACTTTTTTTTACCGCAAGTGCAGCTGTGGTAAAATCAAACTGACTCTTTTTTTTTAATTTTAGCTGTAACTTTTTGTTCATTAGTATCTCTGCTGTCTGGGCACCTAAACTGCATGGAGAAAGCAGGTCTGTCTCTAGTGGTTTACAACCCAGACTGTGGCTTGAGAAGGGTGGCCTTGTCCAACCTGCACCAAGCCCACCTCTAACCCTTAAATGCAGTAAACAGGTTCAGTCGTCCTTGATGCAGCCAGCAAAGTGGAGGTAAAGCCAGGACAGAAGCCTTGACCCGTCCACGTGGCACCAGTGAAATAGAATTAACTTGTACTGCCAGGAAGAATCTGAGAGAAGCTTAACCTGTCTTGTTACTTTTCTGATGTTAAAAAGTCCAAGAGTTAACCTGAATAATTCTTTGATTTACCTCCTGCACCAGGGTTCCTTCCTAAATGTTTGGCTCCATGGAATAATGAAGTTGGAAAGTTTGTTCTCTGTGTGAATCAACTTTCTCCATCTTCCCTGCCCCCTCCCCCTTTTTTAATAACAGGCACACTCATGGCAGAGCTGTTGTCATGGCTGTGTGTGACCCTGCTTCCCTCTCTATACCCTTCCTCTCCCAAAATAAAACACCCCAGGTTTTTTTCCCTCCTGGTAGCAGGCAGTGATTTGCTACAACCCCCTTGTCCATGTGACATTAATGGGCATGAGTGAGTTTACACCTTCCTTTCCTGTGGTCTCTTTAATTTTTTTTTTTTTTTGTAAATTGCGCTAGAGTTGAGGGGAACCTGTACTTAATAATTGGCCTTTACTGCTCAGGTCTATGAGTAGTTACTGGGAATTGTTCCTCTGCAGGTCTCCTTCCCCTGAACCAATCTACAATAGCGAGGGGAAGCGCCTCAACACCCGCGAGTTCCGTACACGCAAGAAGCTGGAGGAAGAGAGGCATAACCTGATAACAGAGATGGTGGCGCTCAACCCTGACTTCAAGCCGCCAGCTGATTACAAGTAAGGCGAGGGTTCTGTTTGCTGCTCTGCCACCTCTGATACAGGTGGTTTTGACTTTCTCCGTGCCTGCCTGTGGCAGAGGTTCCTCCTCCATTGTGGGCTTTCCCTAGAGGGTGACCAGGTTGAGGTCGGTGGGGTCTGTCATGAGTGTCATCCAGATCTTGATGGAGACTGTCTAATCTTTCCCAGGCCACCAGCAACCCGGGTGAGTGATAAAGTGATGATCCCACAAGATGAATATCCTGAGATAAACTTCGTTGGGCTTCTCATTGGACCCAGGTAAGAACTTGTGTTTATTATTATTTATTATGATGATTTTTATTTATTGTGTTGTTATTTCTATACCACTTCTCTTTGGATAAGAGAGCTCGAAGCGGTTTACAACAGTAAACAACTACATTAAATAAATACATCAGTTATATTAATAAAAATGAATACAGAAGTGATATAATAAAAATCCAATAATATAGAGTCATATGAAATAATACAAATACATAAAACAAACCTAATCCCTGCCCTAAAACCATAAGAACCCCCTACAAATGTCAAAAATTGCCAACAAGTCTACTGTACTTAGCAATAAGGAGATCCTATGAACCAAAAGCATGCCAAGACCATCCTGTGTTACAAAGTCTCTGAAACATCATCAGGTCCTGTTGTGCACAAATGTCTTCTGACAGTACATTCCAGAGGGAGGGGGCCATCATTGTGAAGGCCCTCCCCCTGCTGGAAGAAAATTGTGCTACCCAGGGACCTGGGACCACTGGCAGGCCTCCCGAAGATGAACAAAGGGTGAGGGCAGGGGATCATAATGGGAGAAATGGTTGCATAGGAATAAGTAGGGATGGGAACGAGCCTAAAAGGGGCATAGGGGCATAAGAGAAGCCAGTGGCCCATCCAGTCCAACACTCTGTCACACAGTGGCCAGAAATACGAGGTGCCATCAGGAGGTCCACCAGTGGGGCCAGGACATTAGAAGCCCTCCCACTGTTGACCCCCCCCCCCAAGCACCAAGAAGACAGAGCATCACTTGCCCCTGAGTCCCTATCTATACCTTGTGGCTAATAGCCACTGATGGACCTCTGCTCCATATGCTTATCTAATTCCCTTTTGAAGCCGTCCATGCTTGTAGCCGCCGCCACCTCCTCCTGTGGCAGTGAATTCCATGCCGTTTGGTTTGGGGTGGCCCCAGAACCAACCCAGACAGGACCCCCCTGAACTGGTCCAGTAAGTTTTGTGTGTCCCCCCCTTTTCTCCTGGCTGTGGCTTGCTGGGGCAAAGGGGGGGGACTGCCCTTTGTTTGTTTGATTGATTGATATACTGCCCTCCTCGCAGATGGGCTCAGGGTGGTTTACAACAAACTTAATATAGTACCATTTAAAAAAACATTTTTAATTTAATTTAAAACAATAAAATCCTAAAATGCCGTGCAACAGTATCTGATATCAATCAGATTATTTAAAATTCAGCAGTACCCTGATATTGGAATCCAGGCCACTGGAGGGGTGATAGCCAGGAGGGGTGGCGTCTGCTGCCTCAACCAAAGTCCCGACAGAAGTGCTCCATCTTACAGGCCCTGTGGATCTGTAGTAGATCCCGCAGGGCCCTGATCTCATATGGGAGGTCATTCCACCAGGTGGGGGCCAGGGACTGCTAGAAGATGTTGATTTGCAGACCTCAGTATCCTCTGGGGCTCATATGGGGAGAGGTGCTCTCGGTGGCTTGCTGGCCCCTGGCTATATAGGGCTTTAAAGGTAAGCACCAGCACCTTGAAACGGATCCGGAATTCGATAGGCAGCCAATGCAGTTCACACAGCAGTGGGTGGATGCGAGCCCACATGGGTCACCCCCAGCACCCGTGCAGCCACGTTGTGCACCAACTGCAACTTCTGGAGCAGGGTCAAGGGCAGGCCCTCGTAGAGAGAGCTACAATAGTCCAGTCTGGAAGTGACCATTGCATGGGTCACTGTAGTTAGATCCCGGGGGTGAGATGCAGGGCCAACAACCTGATCTGCTTCAGATGAAAAAAGGCAGACCTGGCAATGATCTGGGCCTCCATAGAAAGGGAGGCATCCAGGAACACCCCCAGACTTTTCAGCCCCAACACTGGCACCAATGGAGCCCCATCGAAGGTTGGGAGCCTGATTCCCTGGCTCAGTCCCCCGTGACTCAGGTACAGGACCTCCATCTTAGTTGGATTTAGATTCAGTCAGCTCTGTCACAGCCATCCAGCCACCACTTGTAACACCTCGTCCAGATCTCCTTGGGCCGTGCCACTAGATCGAGCTGGATGTCATCCACATGCTGGTAACAGGCCAGCCCATACCTTCGGATTGCTGCCTGTGGCACGCACACCACAGTTGAGCGGGTCCTTCCACCTTTCTTTTGGCCATGGCTTGCAGCAACGGGGAGAAAGGGGGTGATGATCGCCTGGAAGGGTTTAATGGTAGTCATTTAATCATTCGGTTTTACTCCCTGCCACTTGGACAAAACCGAAGGGTTAAATGGCTGGCCCCGAGCAGCCGAATGAGCACCTTCCCCAAACATTGGTTCCCAGGCTCCAAATTGATTGATTGGCCAAGTTTGGCCCGAATTTTGGCTTGTGAGCTGGTTTGTGCCCATCCCTAGGAATAAAGGTCCCAGACCATTAAGGGCTTTAAAGGTAAGTACCAACACCTTGAATTGGATCCAGAAACTAATTGGTAGCCAGTGCAGCTGCTTCAGGATTGGTGTTATATGAGCTGACCATGATGACTTGATCAGCAACCTACCAGCCGCATTCGGTACCACCTGAAGTTTTCGAAGTGACTTGAAAGGTAGCACTGTGTAGAGTGAGTTGCAGTAGTCTAAACGAGAGGTGATTGTTACATGGATCAGTTGATCAAACTCTTGATAGATATGGGGAAAGTTGTTGGGCCTGGTGAAGATGGAAAACACTGTCCTGGCCATCATGGAGATCTGTTTATCCATGGAAAGCATAGGATCAAGCCAAACCCCCAAACTCTTCACAGTGTTCCTCCCATGAAGGCTGAGAGATGGCAAACTAGGCAGTTCCAGAATACTTTGTATTGCAGTAAGGTTGTAGAACGTGTATCTGTTTTGGGGAGTGTCTGAGAGGAAAAAACTAACAAGGCAAAATAGCTAGTATTATTTACGAAATTCACAGTTAAGTGAAGTATACTTAAACTACTGTGTGTGTCCCCCCATCCTTCTTTGCCATAGTGTCTCAGGAATAAAAGACTTGGTTTAAGCTTAAAATGATGCAGGGCTCACTCTGAGAACCAGTTTTGTGACTATTCGAGTGTGCAGAGTACCACTTTCGCATCCTTCTGGGTAGTTCCTCTTTTGGGGGATGTATTTCAGAGCACTGGTTGGCTGCCATTACTTGAACATCTGGGTTTGGATTTTGTCTTTCCAGAGGAAACACACTGAAGAACATTGAGAAGGAGTGCAATGCAAAGATCATGATCAGAGGCAAAGGCTCTGTGAAAGAAGGGAAAGTGGGGCGGAAAGATGGCCAGATGCTGCCTGGTGAGGATGAACCCCTTCATGCGCTCGTCACTGCCAACACTATGGAAAATGTGAAGAAAGCTGTGGAACAGGTAAATGGCAGACCTCTGGGGTTTTGTAGCTACTAGAAAAGCAGGGGCTGAAAAACTCAGGTGCAGTCCACAGCAGAAAGGCAGACCACAATGTGAAGCTTTCAGAGCAACTCATTCCAAGGAGCTTGTGCAAATGAGCCAAGGTGCACACTGAAGAGGGGAACAAAATATTGTGGTGGTTGTTAGACAATTTGGGATACAGAAAGAAACTTTCCTGGCCCTAACTGTAGCAGTCAGTCAGACACCCCAAGTGTGGCATGGAAACCCTTTTCAGCTTGGGTAATTTTGTTGGCCTAGCTGTCTCTTGATTAAGGATGGACCCCACGGTTTGCACAGCAGCAGGAAATACAGGGTCTTTGGCGTCTCACTTTTTTGTCTGCCAAAGCTTCTCTGATCCAAGTGTCCACTATCCTGATAACTGCTTTCCCATGTTGTGAAAGGTGCATCAAAGCTCACATCCAGTGGCTTGGATCCAGCATGGTTTTTCTGTCAGCAGAATGATTTCCATTGGAAGCAATGTTTCATGGAGCATTTCAGGCTGTAGTGGGTGCGGGTGCAAGAAACTCACACTCTACTGGCATAAATCTTTCTACACAAGGAAATGTTGTGCTGGATCGAAGATTTACCTTAGTTCAAGTTCAGCGGATGTTCCCTCATGCCTGGTGAAAATGACCCCTTGAAGCAAACTCCCAGGAGTATCTGTTTGAAAACGGAGACTTTGCAGGGGTATCTTTCCAGACACTGGCTATTCTGGGGATTTGCTCTCCCTTGTATGATTTGATACATTTAGAAACTGAATCTTAGATTTTTTGTGTGCACATAATCTTTCTCTCATGTGCTCATCAAAATTGTATCAATATATCTAATTCTTAATGCGGCCCCATTTGTGGATACTTAAATCCAGAGATTGGAGCTATGCACAGAAAAGACAGATTGACAAGCCCGAAAACTGACTCAAGTTTGCAGAAAAATCTGAAATGTTAAAAAGTGGGTTACCCGCCCCCCGAAGCAGCACTTTTAGTTTTAAGAAATAAATGAACTCAGTGGCTGTTGCTAGGCAACCAAAACAGTAGTGTCAGTCTTTTGGGTTTGGTTTCTGTCAGTAAAGGGAGGGTGACCTTTTGAAGACACTGTTGGCCTTTCGGGGTAGACTCACTGAGTCTAGGCCTGGCAGCAGCCATTAAAAAAAATGCTACTACCAGATTTTCATGATTCCCCCAGGACTAGCTGCTTAATACTTTTTGGTAGCAACCAACCCACTAAAACTGGTGTGGTATAGTGGTTAGCATTTCAGACCATGAACTGAATCACCACTGTGCTGTGGTAGTTTACTAGGTAACCGTGGGCAAGTTACACATGCTCACCCTAACTTACCTAATGGTTATTGTGAGACTATAACAGAGGAGAGGAGAATGATGTGAGCTCCTTTGGGGTCCCTATTGTGGAGAAAGACTGAGTATAAATGAAGTAAATAAATAATATAGTTGAAGATGGGGGCCAGATAAAAGTTAGGTTGGTTCCTGCGTGGGAACCAGTGAACCAGGAACAAACCAGGGAAATGTGAGGGCTTGAGGGCTACCAGGAAGAAGGAAAGAGGAAATAGTGTAGGAATGTAGGGAAGGGGATATGGGCACAGCCCATAGTCATAGTTCTTAATCAGAACTTGACAAATAAAGCTGTCTTCTAATGAATCAGGTGCTTGGTCCATCCAGGGTCAGTATTGTTTCCATGCACCCGTGTGCATCTTTTCTGTCTTCTAGATCCGGAACATTTTGAAACAAGGAATTGAAACACCAGAGGACCAGAATGACCTGCGCAAGATGCAGCTGCGGGAGCTTGCCCGCCTCAATGGGACGCTGCGTGAAGATGACAACAGGTACTCGTTTGGGGGCCTCAGTTATGCCAGGTAGAAATGAACTTGTCTGTGTTCTCAGTCAGGCCTAACTGCTCTCTTGCTCCAGGATTCTGCGTCCGTGGCAAAATACGGAAACTCGCAGCATCACCAACACCACAGTGTGTACCAAGTGCGGAGGAGCTGGCCACATTGCATCAGACTGCAAGTTTGCCCGGTAAGCATCATCTGTAATACCCTGTGATTGTGTTGGGGTTGCTTGTTCTCCACAAAAACAGCACTGCACTTGGCTCCTTTCTTACAAGTTGTGAGCAACTGCGCAGTCTTGCTTGTTTCTTGTGTGTCCTGAGAAATGCAGACTAGCATGGATAGAGCCTTACATTGCTTTTGGGCAATTAATGGGGGGAGCTATAGTTAGAGTACATCCTAGCTGCTTTTTTTTTTTTTGCCAGAGAGAGAGAGAGAGAGAGAGAGAGAGAATTGTTTGACTGTATGATGGCTGGGTTCCTACCTTGTGTCATAAGCCGTATGGTAACTAGCCTCCTCTTTTCAGGCCTGGAGATCCCCAGTCAGCCCAGGATAAAGCACGCATGGACAAAGAGTACTTATCTCTAATGGCCGAGTTGGGAGAGGCCCCTGTTCCGTCATCTGTAGGGTCTTCTTCAGGACCTTCTAATCCACCTCTGCAGAGTGGCCCAAGACCGTCGGGGCCTGGCAACAGCCAGCCACCTCCTGTGAGTAACTTACTTGGAAGGGTGCTGTCAGACCAGATTGGGTTAAAGGGAAGATTTGCCTTAATAGAATACAGTTAACCTGGTAGGATATTCGCAGAACATGTGGCTACATCCAGCGCTTGTGTTCTCAGCAGATAAGCACTCGGTATCGGGTGGAATGTGGTTATTTCTAGTGCAAGGTACGCTTGGCTTCTCTTTCTTATCTAACTGAAACGGCTTTCCCCTGTTGTTGTTTGTCTGTTCCTAGAACCGCCCTCCGTGGATGAACTCTGGCCCTTCTGAAAATCGGCCCTTCCATGGCATGCATGGTGGAGGTGGAGGCGGTGGCGGCGGCGGCGGTGGTGGTGGTGGAGGAGGAGGAGGAGGAGGAGGGCCTGCAGGGCCTGGCGGTCCTCACAACTTCCCTCACCCAATGTCGAACATGGGAGGACATGGTGGTCACCCCATGCAGCACAATCCAAATGGTCCCCCGCCTTGGTTACAGCCACACAATCCTCCAATGAACCAGGGACCGCATCCTCACGGCCCACCAGGCCCCCATCACATGGGTGAGTACAATCTGGAACTCCGTGGTCCTTGGGCGTTCTCGTCATGGATGGAGAAAGGCCGGTCAGAATGCAGCTGTGGGCTAATTTAGATAGTATCCCTTGAGCCCAGAAGGGTTTTTTCCAGCCAAGTGGCCAAGTCCACTTGTGGACAGGACAAGTGGCTGGCTGGGTGGACAGGGCTGGTGAGGATGGTCAGTTCCAACTGTGTCACTAAGGCTGCGGTCTCTCATTCCCTTAAGATCAGTACCTGGGCAACGCGCCAGTGGGCTCTGGGGTCTATCGCCTCCAAGGAAAAGGTGAGGAAAGGGGCTTGTTTTTCCATTAAGGGGGGGGGGGCTGTCACTTGGAGGGACAGGGTGCGGGGTTGGAGGATAGTTCCCAGGGTCCGCTTGATGGACTGTCTGGCCTTGCAGGTATGATGCCGCCTCCGATGGGTATGATGCCCCCACCGCCCCCTCCGCCCGGTGGTCAGCCTCCCCCGCCTCCCTCTGGTCCTCTCCCCCCATGGCAGCAGCAGCAGCAGCCACCACCCCCGCCTCCCAGCAGCAGTACTCCCTTGCCATGGCAGCAAAGTGAGTAAGAGAACTTCTTTTAATTCTGCTCCTCCGCGACCCCTCTGGCCAGTACAATAGCAAGTCGATGGCTGTTGGCCCAGCCTTCCCAGTGTGGGGCAGCCCTTGGGGGTAGGAGGCCCCTTCCTTTTCCTGGCCTTCAGCACCTGGCCAGAATTCCTCCACTGGGCTTGACTTGCAGCCCCACTCCTCTGTCCCTGGAGCAGTTTTCTCCCAGTACTTGAACTGACTCCTTGGCTTCCCTTCTGATGTTTGCTGCAAAACCCATCCTTGGCCTGCAGGCCAAATGCCTTGAGGATGGTCAGAAGAAAAGGCATCTTTCCCAGTCATCTTCCTCTGGGTCATCCCAAGGGGGGTGGGTGGGAGAGAATACTCTCCCTGGACGACATGGTCTCGAGAAAAGGGGTCAGCTGGTTCTCTGAATGAGGAGATCCAGGACCCAGGGTCGAAGCCCTCCCGGAATGACTCTGTGCTGTGTTATTTCCCAGATACGACGACCACCACCACCACGAGCGCTGGCAGCGGGGCCATCCCTCCATGGCAGCAGCAGGGGGCGGCGGCAACTTCTACGGGGGGCCCGCAGATGCAAGGCAGCCCCTCCATGGTGCCTTTGCCTCCAGGGGTCCAGCCTCCCCTGCCGCCAGGGGCCCCGCCTCCTCCCCCTCCTCCGCCTCCCATGGACCCTTCTAACTTTGTCACCATGATGGGGGTGGGGGTTCCGGCTTTGCCACCGTTCGGCATGCCCCCTGCTCCACCACCACCGCCACCACAGAACTGAAGAAAGGTTTTTCTATACAGTTTTTCTCTCCAATGTGGAGCCAGGAATTGGAGGGGGATGTTAATGAAGCCCGGCCAGGAGCATGTGAGGGATGTTCCCCCCCCTCCTTACTCTGTATTAGAGGGGTGTGTGACTCTTTGTCACATTCTTGTTTTGAATGACTTGACTGGTGTACTTCGATAATTTGACCCATCAAGACACTAGCCTTAAGCGTCCCTCTGAAGTGAGGACTGTCTAACCTTTGGCAGTGAGAACAAGGAACTTACGGGATATACTTGCTGGGGCAAAAGTCCATTTGAAACCACCAGGTCCAGCCTCGGAAGCAGCAAGCCCTCTTCTGTGAATTTAAGCATCTCTCACGTGCCCTGCAGGCGCAGAACAGCGACTTCTGTTTATTTAATTTTTTCTTGCTGGGCTTAGATTTCAGTCCCACCTTAAAGACACCATGTTTTCCAGGGCCCTGTACATCTCCACCATTGAACTTCTGCCAGTAGAGTTGAAGAAATGAATGGATTTTGGTAGAATTCTCTGTGTTTGAAAGCTGAGACTTTTTGCCCCGCAGCTGATTTGGGGGGGGGGGGAGTGTCCCAGTTTTTCTTTTCCTGGGTCTCCTTAGCAGGAATAGGTAGATTTTGCAAGATGTGTCTACTGTAGAAGCTGAGGGCTTTGAGTCCACCCCCCACCCTTCCCATAGGGTAGTTAAAATGAAGTAGGCGTTGGGAGGGCATCTTCGTCTACTCTGAGATCCATTCGTCTCTTATTCACCTGCCTAGAGTCTCATTCCTTCCTCCTTTTTCTTTTTTTTTAAGCACGTCTGAGTGTTTTGTGGTTTTGGGTGGTCCCACCCCCGGATTGAGTGATTTCTGTTGACAATGATGTATGTGTATAATGCTTCATTCAGTCACCTGTAACCATTTTCTTAATTGCTTTTTGTGTAAGAGTAAAAACTGCAACGAGGGGAGGTTCCAATTAAACACCATTTTTAAAATAGTCCTCCTTGTGCGTTCCTTTTGATCACGGGGAAGTGGAAGAATTCTGTTGCTGGTTTCTGCCAGTAGGGGGGGACCAAGTTACAATGCAGGCTGAACTCAACTGTTCTGAACGTGTGCCAGTCGCACTAAGACTGTTGGAAATGTGAGACACCCCCCCACACACACACACACACACGCACACACACTGGACTTGAAGATCCTCTTGGAGATGAACACCAGGTTTCTTTTGTTCCTTGGGAAGGCTCTGGCTGGCTGCTCTTGTCCAACCTGAGCAATGGTAGCTCCTCTTCTTTCCGGAACATTGCTGTTCTTGTGTACCACCTCTCTCCTCTCAGGACATGCCATTTTAAACTAAAAACTGTTCTGGAGCGGCCCTGAATGCTCCTGGAATGGGGTGACACCCCCCCAAGGGTGCTGAGGCTAATCTATAGTGGTCTGAAAGCAGGAGCAGCTTGAGCCCTGTGGGCTGACTGTTTCCAGTCTTATGTGGTTTCTCCCCAAGGCCACAGAGCAGTGAGAAACATTGGGCGGGGGTTGCTCTGTGCTGCGATACTCCTGTCTTCTTTTGCATCCTCTGCTTCGATGCATTGCTCCTGTCTGTTTTCTACGGTGTTGAATCAGTCTCTTCGGTGCCCAGTATATTTGGATCTCTACCCAAGCTGTTTCTTGGTGCCCACACGAATAGAAAAGCTTTCCCAGCAAGAACATGCTGTTCTTCAGCATGGAAAAAGTTTTGTTTCTGTCCCTTCATCAATCACCCCAGCTGCCCAGAGTGCTTAAGCTACACAGAAGAAATGGCTCGTGGGGGGGGGGGGAAGCTTGTAATCCAACTTGGGGGGAGGGCGAGCTGTAACGATGCTGTGATCCTCATCCCTTACCTAACACCACCATGCATTATGTTAGGGTGGGGAAAGGTACTGTGCTTAAGAACAGGCACAGCCTTTTAGCTTTCCCAAGGACTGTTCTTCCCTAGAAAGCAGAGAGGAAAGCGCATCCCCTTTTCCTGGCTCTGTGAGGCTCAGAATTTCAATTAGGGAGAATCTGGGGTAAGGGAGGAAAGCCTGCCAGCTGTTCAAGAGGGGGGAAATGCCTCAGGTGATGGGCAAAACCAGTCACAAGACACATGAGTCGAATGACTCGTATCTAGAGATTCAAGATGAGTCTGCTGCCAGAATTGTCTAAAGTGGCCAAAATGCTGGCCAGCTGCCCTCTGTTCACTGCTCAAGTCCAATCTTACAAAGGGGCTTGAGTTCGTCCTTCATTTACTTGCAGTACAGAAGGCCCTAGGTCCAGTCCCTGGCATCGGTAGCCACTGTCTAGAAAGGCCTTCCTGAAGAGCCATTGTTGGGAGAGTGCATGATCCTGAGTGGCATGGCCCCAGTGGTCTGCATCTATGTGAGGCAGCTTTGTTTCTCTTCAGGCCTGGGAGAGAGCCTCAGTGCCAGCTCCCTGAGTGGGGAAGGAGCCCTTCCCGCCAGCTGAAATAGCAGCACTTGCTGACATGAGGGGAAGGGGGGTGGGGAGGACCTGTCAGTTTTCCTCCCTCCTCTCATTTGCACCGTGGAGTTGCAGCGACAGGCTCAAATGCAGAGGAAATAATGCCTCCTGGCATTTTAACTATCATCAGCACTTTTGCCCCTAAAGGCCCTGGGCTTGCCTGCTGCTCTGGATCCTGCCATGCAGTAAGAAGGATTTAATGACCCATCAGGTGCAGACTTTGCAAAATTGTATGGACTCCTTTGCTGGCATGATGCAAGAAAGGACTGGAATCCAGGAACCCAGTCTTTTTGACATTTCCTCTCCGGAAAAAACCTGTTCCAGGAACATGATGCAGATAGTTGCATTTTTTAAAAAGCTCTGTGAAACAAATTGTTTTATAAATATATATATATGTATGTATGTTACCTTTCCTGGGTTCACACCCCAAGCTCTGTTAGGATTGCTGAAAACAGCAGGGTGTGTGTGTGTGGGGTCAGGTTTCCCCCCTTGCAAAGGGACAGAAAAGGGGAAGAATTTTGTCTTCCAAGCCAAGGGCAGGGACCCGGTAAGGGTATGCAGCCCTTGGGGGCTTGTGGAGGGTTCTACACCACTCAGGTTTCATCTCTCTGTGAGTCACCCAGAGCTCTGTTTAGCTTTATGCCTGACCTTTTCATGGGCCTTGGGATTTCATTCTCTCCTTGCCTCTTAACTGCTGGATGTATCTGAAATAAGAGTCAGGCTCCTGGCTGAAACTGAAACGGGCCTCCTCCTGACACCTTGGAGAAAGCAGAAGGGGATGCAGCGCTTTTGAGACGGTTATCCGATACAAACCAGAGATACTGCAGCAGAAGGGCTTGACGGGGGAGGGGCTGAAGTGGACCCTGCTCTGTGGCAAACTTAACCATTATACTGAGCAGAATTTTTTCTGGCCCTATATGTTCCCCTATTCCTGGGCTTCTGGTTGAGTGGAATTGTTACTGGGCTGTGATGCTCCATTCTACGGCTGTTTCTGTAGTTTATAAGGACAGAATTATAATTACTGTATGGCAGTGTTTGTAGTATAGATAGATGTCAGATAGATGCTTCTGATCATAGTGCTGAAGCTTATAGACTGACACTCCCCCTAAGGTTCAGTATCTATGATCTTGGGAAGAACAGTGCTGCAATGTAACTAAACCTCTTTGCACTGTATCCCTTACATGTTGATACCTAATGTTGATGTGCCTACTCCGAGGCCTGATTCCTTGTGAATCAGCTAACTGTTCTGCTGCTGTATTATCACATTCAATCAACATTGGTTTGTCATATGATACATCAAAATCTGTTAATAACTGTTGAAGCCATTCAAGTTGTATTGTACAATCATTTATAGCTGCAAATTCAGCTTCACAACTGCTAGTAGCCACGTACTGTTGTTTTACAGATTTCCAGATAACCAGTGATCCACATTTATTGCATATCCAGTTATGCTTTTCCACTGTCACTTACACCAACTTGAATCAGTAAAGGCTATAACTTGTTGTTTGTCATCACATTTTAACACAAGTTTACATTGTAAAGTGCCCTTTAAATACCACAGTATTCTTTTGGCTGCATTCCAATCCTTCATAGTTGGGTTTGCATTTCTTTGGCACAACAAATGCACAGCATAAGAAATATCAGGGCGAGACCAAGTAGTTAAATAAATCAATGATTGGTATAAGGTTTTGTTATCAAAACATTCCCCTTCTGGTTCTTTCGTATAACCTGTAGACATTGGTGTTGCTACTGGGTAAGCATTTTGCATATTGTAATCCTTTAACAATTCAACAATTTTGTGCCTAGTAGAACTTCATCTCTCATCACCTCAATTAGGCTGCCTTCTGCAAGGTGGAGCTGTTGTGTCCAGTGATACTGAATACACATTACGAAGGATTCATAAACAGGTATGCTAAATCTGTCCTTAGAGCCCTGACCTGGATAGCGCAGGCTAGCCTGATCTCGTCAGATCTCCAAAGCTAAGCAAGGTCGGCCCTGGCTAGTATTTGGATGGGTGACCTTGAAGGAATACCAGGAGCAGGGAACGGCAAACCACCTCTGAAATGTCTCTTGCCTTAAAAACAAATCTAGCTTGCCACCTAATGGCGGTCTAATTGAGGTGATGAGAGATGAAGTTCTACTAGGCAAATTTAATAAAATTATGAATAGGGTGGAGAAGGTGGATAGAACCTTTCCTTCATAACCAGAAGACAGAATTCAGGCACTCAATTATGTTGATGGGCACCAGATTCGGAACAGACAACAGGAAATAGTTCCTTTACTCAAATAAGAGTTTATTGCCAGTAGATATAGGAACGGCCCTGGGCTTAGATGACCTTAAAGGGGGATTAGACCGATTTGTGGAGGAGAGGGTCCATCAGTGGCTACTAGCCATGGTGACTAATGGGACCCTCAATAAACAGAGGCAACAAACTTCTGAATACCAGTGCTAGGGGACAACGTCAAAAAGGCCTTCACCTCTGACCTCCATGGCAACTCGCTGGCCACTATGTGAAGTGGGATGCTGGATTAGATGGACGATTTGTTTGGCCTAATCCGGCAGGGCTCCTTGTATGTGGGGGTGGGAGACGAAATGTTAAGATTAGTCCCTGCAGGAGGCCTGTTCTTTCCATCAACAGTACAAGCTCCAGCACATAAGAGTCCCACTGTATTAGACCCAAAGAGCCACTTAGTCCAGTATTGTGGCCTACAGTGGTGAACCAGTGGCCTTCCCCAAACCCACAAGTAAACCCCTCAACTGTTTCCCCTGTATCAACTGGTGTTCTCAGTACGAACATGAGAAATACTCCCAGGCTTCCCTGTTTTGGTACATCTCAGCCTGACCCACCCACATCCCTGGGGTGAACAGAAAGCCACACCATACCATAGAGCAGGGGTGTTCTTATCCTTTTCGTGCCACGGACCCCTTTGGTTTGGTGAAGCCTATAGACCCCTTCTCAGAATAATGTTGAAGCAGTGATGAACGGAAATGATATTTCGAGATATCTGCCACAGCTGTGATGTGATATGAAAATATCTGTGATTTCTCCTGGTGGCAAAGTCACAGGTACTGCTAATACTACTGTGGTTTGTTTACCTACATTCATAATGGAAGGAAATGCTAAATTTCAATTAGAGGGTCAGTGAAAATAAACATGTAATTCCCCCCCTCCCCATCCAAGTTCATGGACCCCTTGAAATGTATCCAGAGACCCCTTGGGAGTCCATGGTCCACAGGTTAAGAACCCCTGCCATAGAGGAAGGAGCTATTGCTCAATATCAGAGCATCGGCTTTGTGTGCAGAAGGTCCCAGGTTCAGTTCCCAACACCTCCAGTGAAAACGTTTGGGTAGCCAGTGATGTGAAAGACCTCCACCTGAGACAATGAAGAGACACTGCTGCATTCAGTGTTGATCAGGTTCCCATACAGCACAGTTGCTGCAGAGGTAATCCCATGACTCAGGGGGCATGCCTTTAGTGCCCTC